CCGTCTGCTGGGTGGTTGCAGCAGGTTTTGGTCACTTCACATGACCCTGGGACACTGTGACCATCATAAATATGAATCAGTTGCCAAGCATCTGAATGTAAATCACAAGACCCTGGAGATGCTGCAACATTCCAGCTGATCGGCGCTTCTTCTGGGCTCAGCAGAAGCGCCAGGATCAGTGCTGCTTTCCAGCTGATTGATGCTTCTTCAGGGCTCAGCAGAAGCACCAGGATCAGCGCCGAGCTCCAGCTGAAGCCTGGCGCTGATCCTGGCGCTTCCACTGAGCCCTGACCGTCCCGAAGAAGCGCCGATCAGCTGGAAAGTGGCACTGATCCTGGTGCTTCCGCTGAGCCCTGACAGCCCTGCAGCTCCAGCCGTCTCTCGCTCAGGCTTGTGCGGTGCTGCCACCGGTTCAGCTCATTCCCCTCCCCCACTACCACTTTTCTAGCATGGTCGCGTACCACCTGCCAGGTGCCAATGTACCACAGGTGGTACCCGTACCACTGGTTGAAAAGCCCTGCTCTAGAACATACTTTCTTTGGAATTGGATCAGTTCTCACTTCCTCTGTTTTTTAGCAAACTCACAAAAATGCCTCATTTTACTAATCTTTCCTATTGGTATTTATCTTATGATAATTGAGATTTGATGTTCATAATTATTATATTTTATGTAGGGATCCTTGGTGCTTTCTGAGCTTGGTAATTTTCTTGCAAGCGTTTCATTACCAAACTAGGTAATGTCATCAGTGCATATTTAATTTATTATATCCCACCTTTTATTACTTTTATAAACAACTCAAGGCAACAAGCATGTCTAATACTCCTTCCTCCTCCTATTTTTCCCACAAGAACCACCCTGTGAGGGTGGGTTAGGCTGAAAGAGAGGGACTAGAGTGCCAGGGGTAGGCAACCTTGGCTCTTTTATGACTTGTGGACTTCAACTCCCAGAATTCCTGAGCCAGCCATGCTTCTCAAGTGAGTTTTCATGTCTATATTGATTTGATACTCATTTTCACACTCTAGTATTTTTGTGTCCCCCCCCCCTTTTTTCCCATTTCTAGTCACCCCATATGCTTCTTTTCGTTGCCTTTCCTGTAAGGCAGAGGTCTCCAACCTTTTGGGCACCAGGGACCGGTGCCATGGAGAAAGGTTTTTCTGGGACCAGAGGGGGAGTGGTTTTGAATATTGCCTGCATCCTGAGGATGGAGCTTTGCTTGTTTGTGTGGCCCACTTGCTGGCATGCTGCGGACCGGTGCTGGTCCGTGGACTGGAGGTTGGGGACCCCTGCTGTAAGGGACAAATCTAATAACATACTATTTCATAGTTGCTGTTCAGTAAGTTTTTCTATACGAAGGAGCCAGTTTAATGACAATAGGATTTTCAGTTAAGTCACTGGAAGCATATGACTATATGAAACTGCCCATGCTAGAAGCAGAGCTCCAAAGTTTTCATATAGACTCCCCCAAACATAATATTTACTCTGGAATAACATGAATAATCCTGAATATTTTAACGGGACATTGAACAATCCCCCTTAAGACAGTGAATAGATTAATCCAGGGGTCTTCAAACTTGGCAACTTTAAGACTTGTGGACTTCAACTCCCAGAATTCCTGGGCTGGCTGAGGAATTCTGGGAGTTGAAGTCCACAAGTCTTAAAGTTGCCAAGTTTGAAGACCCCTGGATTAAACCAATGTTCTTAATAAAATTGCCACAAAATCTCACGGCTTCTTCTTGCTCTTGTGTGCATCCACACATGGAATAATATAAATGACAGAGTCAACAAAAAGACAAACTCACGTATCCAGATTGTGTAAGGAAAAGGGCTGTGTAGAGAAACGGATGTAGCTATGTCGATAGAACCATATGGTGAGAGGATTCCAATCAGTTACCAAAAACCATTGCCGCAAGTCAAACTTGGTGCCAAAGATGAGCAGGGGTGTCTCGATGTATTTCTGCACCACCCATTTGCCATCCTTGACAATCATGGGGTCACAGTCCACTAGTTTCACAATCTCCTCTAAGCGGTCCATGCACATGATGCCTGTCAGAAAATTTGATTTATTTATTTGATCTATATCCTGCCTTTCTATATTTATTTACATGCTTGCTATTTTGTCCACAACAACAACTCTATGAGGTAAGTTGGGCCGAGAAAGAGTGCAAAATCACCCAGCTGGCTTTCATGACTAAAGTGGGACTAGAACTCACAATCTCTGGTGATTGGCCGAAAGTCACCCCACTAGCTTTCATACCTAAGGTGGGACTAGAACTCACAATCTCCTGGTGATTGGCCCAAAGTCACCCCACTAACTTTCATGCCTAAGGTGGGACTAGAACTCACAATCTCCTGGTGATTGGCCCAACGTCTCCCCACTAGCTTTCATGCCTAAAGTGGGATTAGAACTCAAAATCTCCTGGTGATTGGCCCAAAGTCACTCCACTAGCTTTCATGCCTAAAGTGGGACTAGAACTCACAATCTCCTGGTGATTGGCCCAACGTTACCCAACTAGCTTTCACACCTAAGGTGGGACTAGAACTCACAATCTCCCAGTTTCTAGGGCCAGCACTTTAACCACTATACTAAACTGGTTCTCTGACGAGTACTTAAGCTAGCTAACAAAATGTTTAAAAGGTAAAAGCAGAGGGTATAAAATTAAAAGCATAAAATCAAAATTAATATTAAAGAAATCAATTAAAAGCATGATAAAACGGAAGTGCCTTTATAAATTTTGTTCAAATACTTTGTGCATGCCTTTTACCGAATGCCCCATTCATCTTATTGGCTGTAATCAGCCACACTAATGCTTAAAATCCAAATCCACAGTTAGTTACCAGTGCAGAATATTATTTGCAAATAATCTGGATCAAGAGCTTTGGGAAACCAGATGGCTATGAAGTTGACAAAGCCAAAATTAGGATTGACTGATGTCTGTTGACATTAAATTACGCGGAACTTGTTCCCACGCAGCTTTCAATGTTCTTTACCAATTATGTGGAAATACAGAATCCGAGTTCAGATATCACACTGAGCCATAATATGGTTTTCTTGGTCTTAAGAGTCTCATGCAAATTCATCTAGTACAATGGTTTCTTACCTAACAAGCCATGGTTAAAGAATGGCTTGGTATGATGCATGAATCCAGCCCAAAAAAATCTACACAGACTGAAGCATCTCCCAACTGCTTTGTCAAGTCCATCTTCTCAAGGTATTTGGGCTATTTCATCCATGCCCAGTAGACCTACCTCTGCCACGAGATTTAGCTCCTGGTTTGACAATCCAGATGTTCCTGTCCCCTTCCATGTCCAGCTGTGGGACGACTTTTTGCAGTCGTTGCAAGATATCATCACAGCGCTCAATGAGGCTCTCTGTCTGCGTCATCTGGGCCCCTTCGCTGTAATGACAAATACTTGACCCAATAGCATGACCCAATGCCCTTCCACGGTCGTAACCTGTGCCAGGGAGAGAGAACCTATGGCCTATGGATTGCAAACGGCTTCTGAGCCCCTAGAAATTGTGTTACTACATTACATTTGAAGGAAAGCCATCAAGAAACCACAGCATTATGTATAAGCCGCCCAGAGTTGCTTGTTATTGAGATAAGCCAGAGCTCCCCAACGTTTCTGGCTTGGTGGCCCAGAACGAAAGGGAAGAGCACAGAAATGTGCACGTGCAGCCCATGCACAGTGGCAGTGCTAGTGCACGCATGCTCAAGCAGGCCGTGCACACCCGCGGCGGTGCACCGGTACCCGCGCACATGCGCAAATGGGCCACTGGTACCCACGCAAACAGGCCCCTGGAGCCTGCACGCATCTGCAAATGGGCCACTGGAGCCCACATGCATGCGCAAATGGGACCATTAGCGCCCACGGGGTGGTGCTACCGCAAGTGGGGGGCCTCGCCAGCTATTCTCATGTCCCGGTGGCCAAGAGGCCACGGCCCGGTACCGGACTGCGGACCATAAGTTGGGGAGCTCTGAGGTAAGTGACATATAAATGTAATAATAAATAAACAAATAATTTCCTAGCGTGTGGAGACAGAACAATATAAGAAAATGTATCATAAACTGTTCGTGTTAATACACTGAAAGTTCTCACGCATCTCCCTCGACAGGAAAATCACTGGAAATCAGTCCCAGGGCCTCATCAGGCCACTGTTTTCCTACCTCAGCCCTCGGTTGTCAGCAGGCTGCCCATCCCTGGCCTTTTCAGTATGGAAGTATTAGCAAGTATTTGTTTGTTTTTATTTAGAGGAAGTCCTCAACTTACGACCACAATTGAGCCTAAAATTTCCATTGCCAAGTGAGATGCTTATTAAGAGACCTATGCGGGGCTTTTTTTCTCATAGAACACCCAGAACGGAGTTCCGGCACCTTTTTTGGATGGAACTTTATAGGGTAGGCAAGGCGGGTTGTATGACGTGTGTGAGTTCCGGCACCTTTTTTTTTTTAGAAAAAAAGCACTGGACCTATGCCTCATTTTATGATCTTTTTGCCACAGTTGTTAAATGAACCCACAGCAGTTGCTAAGGTAATCTGGCTTCCCCCCATTTGACTTTGCTTGTCGGAAGCCAACCGGGAAGGTCACAAAGGGTGATCACGTGACCCCGGGACGGTGCAACCGTCAGAAATACATGCCAGTTGCCAAGCGGCCAGATTTTGATCAGGTGACCACGGGGAGGCTGCAGTGGTCATAAGGGTGAAAATCAATCATAAACCCCTTTCTTCAGCGCTGCTTTAACTTTGAACAGTTACTGAGCAAACGGTTGTAAGTCGAGGCGTACTTGTGCAGTTGCAGAAAGGAGATCTATTGATTGCAGAAACTGGTGGTTTCCCCCCCCCCCACTTTACCCCAAAGTTGAAACTTTTGTGCTTACTGAGCGATCTGATAGTAGCTGTGCAGAAAGTCCTGCCAGTGTCCTTTTGACAGCTGCAAGGTAGATCCCGATTCTCGGTCGATGTCCTGATGTTTCAGGCTGCTCAAGTGCTCCTCGCAAGCGTGTATTGCTGTCTCAATCAGCTGGGCTGAGAAATTGGCCCCTTTCTTGTGGCGGATGCGATGCTTGGCTTCTAGAAGTGAAAGATTAGTGACCCAACAATACTGGGTATGTGACAAGGGACAGCCTGAGCACTGGGGTCAAAAAGGCAAACTGGTGGAAAGCCAAGATGTTTTGTTTTGTATCTAAATATTTCAAGTCACACTGGAACTGCTGATGAGTGCCTAGATGTCATTTTGTTCATGTACAAAAGGAATCTGTCATGGCCCCATCGGAGCCCGGTTCAGAGGAGGAGGAGTTGGAACCGGGACCCTCCGACAGGGATGGCACGTCTCCCTCGGCATGTTTGGAGAGGCCCCAAGGGCTGAGGATGATGCTGTCTCAGGCCCCTCAGGCATTGGGGAAGATAGTCGACCGGACGGAGAGCTGCCTATCTTCACAGACATGGGGGCGGGGGGGGGGAGAAATCAGCTGCTGACAGACAGTGGTGCTGATAGGCAGCAGATCCCCTCTGATGAGGAACAGCTGCCTCCTCCACTCAATCCAAGGGCAGGGAGGGCAGAGCTTAGGCAAGCCCAAAGAAGGGCTGGAAGGCTATTCAGAAGGTCGCCGAGTGCCCCAAAACCACCCCGCCCCCAGCCCGCACCCGCTTTGCGCTCTGCCAACGCCCTGCCCGCCTGCAGGGCCACTCACCGCCTCCATGGCCCGCCACAGCAGATGGCCCAGGCGGCCTTGCAGTGCCATGGCAGCCACGCCCTCCGCCCACACCCCGCAGCATCATCTGCACGTGATGGGGCGCAAGAGCAGAGTCTTGTACCTGCTGCCCGGCTGCCATCCTTGGCTGCACTGCTCTGTGCGGGCCATGTCTGGGGGAGACAATCCTCCCGGGGGGCTGCTGGTGAGGAGGGAGCCATGGGGGGAGGCAGGGATGGGGCAACAGCGCGCGTGCCCACAGAGAGGGCTCCGAGTGCCGCTTCTGGCACACATGCCATAGGTTCGCCACCACTGGCCTAGACAGCACCTATTGGGAAGGTTTCCATGGTACGTATTAAGGGAATTCCAAAACTGTAACTATGAACCAGATTTTTTAAAATAAAAAAAAAGCATGCATCTTATTTATGACATCCAGGATTATGCACCAGAGACAAGCTGAAATGTTTCTCCCGTGCTCGGTTAGTACACGTAGTCCTCGACTTATGACCACAATGGAGCCCAAAATTTATGTTGCTAAGCGGGACATTGGTTAAGTGAGTTTTGCCCCATTTTATGACCTTTCTTGCCACATTTGTTAAGTGAATACACTGCAGTTGTTAAACTAGTAATGCAGTGGCTAAGTGAATCTGGCTTTCCCCGTTGATTTCTCTTGTCAGAAGGTTGATCAAAAGTTGATCACGTGACCCTGAGACACTGCAACCGTCATAAGTATGAACCAGTTGCCATCATGTGACCATGGGGATGCTACAATGGTCGTAAGTGTGGAAAATGGTCCTAAGTCACTTTAAATGGCCACTAAATGAACAGTTGTAACTCAAGGACTACCTGTACACAAATGTAGTATTTTGATTAGGTTTGTGCAGAATCCTAAATGCAAAGACAAGGAGATACTTTGGAGCATGCAGGGGCACTTGTAACATCTGTCTTAAAGCCACTGCATCTTTTCCCAAGTAAGATTCCAGGCAAAGATGCCTACAGCCAAGGGGTGTTATAAGGAAAACCTTTTTCCTTTCAAATCTGAAACACTTCGTAGCCCTAGCTTTGAATGACTGATTTCTGGAAGCCTGGAGACTGAAGCATACAAAGAACGGCTGCTGGACTTGGGTTTGTCTACTAGTCTAAAGAAAAGAAGAAATAGGGGAGACATGATATCTGAGGGGCTGCCACAAAGAAGAGGGGGTCACATTGTTCACCAGAGCACCAGAGGGAAGGACAAGAAACAATGGTTGGACACTGATCAAAGAGAGAAGCAACCTGGAATTAAGGAGAAACTTCCTGACAGTGAGGACAATCAACCAGTGGAACAGCTTACCCCCAGAAATCATGGGCGCCCCATCACTGGAGATTTTTAAGAAGAGACTAGACAATCACCTGTCTGAGATGGTATAGGTTCTCCTGCTTGAGCAGGGGGCTGGACTAGAAGACCTCCAAGGTCCCTTCCAGCTCTATTCTATTCTATTCTATTCTATTCTATTCTATTCCCATTCTATTCCACAAGATTCCTAGGCCTCAGTTATGGGAAATAGATGGAGGAAGTAATATTTAAAGGAAAGGAAGCAGCAGTTTTTGTGGGTCAAAGATAAGGGGTTAGAGTGATGCAAGCAGTATTGTGACATAGATTGCTTCTTTTCTACATGCATTGCAATATCACACAACTCTCAAGGACCAGAGCTTGTAGTGTCATCATCCTAACAAAAGCAACAAAAATACCACTTCAAGGAAGCAAAAGATTATAAGGCTTTGAAATTTAAAAAAGAACACCTGAATTTTAGACCAGTTCTTGCTTTATTATTATTATTCAAAGCAATACAATAGCGAGAAAAGAGAGTAACACAACTTGAGCATCTTGGTGGAAAGATTTATTAGCAATTAGTACAGAATTCTCCACAAATAAGGGCTACTTGTGTGCATCAAAACAAAATCAAACCACCTGGAATAAGTTAGCTAAGTTTCTAAGTTGATTTTTTTTTTTTTGCTAATCTAAGGATTACGCCCTTTGAATGCTCAAAACTTTGAAAATTGGATGTACCCATAACAGATATCCACGGTTATCAGCAAACTCTTCCAAAACTCAGAAGTGGATTATTTTAGATATTATAGTAGCCCAAATAGTAGCAACTCTTCATTTACAAAATGAAAAGACGTACCTCTTTGGACCTTAAGAGATGGCATCCACCAGGGCTGTATCTTTTGAATTTGAAGTAAATTTGTCTCAGATTACGTAAAATACCCAGTGTGGTTCTAACTCCCCAATTTCACAACCAAACTACTTTTTAAAATAGTTCTCAGCTTGGTAGCAAAATAATACCTCCACATCTCCGGTCTAATTAGACCTGGGTAAGCCAAGATTGCAGCAAGGTAGCTGAAATGCATTTTTACTGGCATTTACAATAAGGAAAGTGGGATAAAAATCCCTAAAATGGTTCTGGGAAGATAACAAAACATGATTCAGGTACAGGAAACAAAGCCTTTTTGCACTCCAGTTGTGCTGCTCTGATTCACAAACTAGAACTCAAACACTTAAAACAGCCAGAACATAAAGACTATTTCCCTACAGGATACAATCATCTTGAAGCGTTAAGAAAAGTAATAAGGCAAAAAGCATTTAAAACCCCAAAGGCTTTTCGCCACTTCTTCTGGTCCATGAAGTCCAACCTTTCAGGCTTTCTATAGACTCTGGCGAGAGATTATAGTTCTTTAATTCCCCCAGATTTTCTACTGGCTGCACCCACCTGAAGACCCCGGACGACCTAGGAACTCGTTCTGATTTTCATCCAAGGCTGTGATGAAAGTCGGCTTTTTCCAGTATCGTTTCACCACTATTTTGAGAAGGCTCCTGGCTGCAGTGAGATGGAAGTCCTCTATCATAAAAAGCAGAAAGGCCTGTAATTCCTAGCAAAGCAGTTGTTTCAGTTCCTAAACTTGCTTCATCCCAAGAATTTAAGAGCTCTGGTGCACAAGGCACAGCCTGCAAACTACATGCAATTCCCACATATAGGATAGAACTTTTTTTTTTCCTGTAGCCCTGAGACTCAAAATTAGCTCTTTTTTTCTAAATAATCTATTGACCAGTGTGATTATCTGGCCAGTGGGAAACAGATTACTGCTGACCGGTTGTTGGGAATACTTCTTACCAATAAAAGCATGTTTTTCATCTTTAGCTCCAAGACGATAACACCGTGGGAAAAATGTATCTGCATCAGCTTGGTCAAACCATGGGAGGTTACGCAGGTTAAGACACAGCCCTACCTAAGAGAGAGGATATATAGCAATAGCAATGGTGCTTAAGACTTATATACCGCTTTATAATGCCTGACAGCACTGTCTCAGCGGTTCACAGAGTCAGCCTATTGTCCCCAACAATCTGGACCCTCATTTTACTGACCTCGGAAGGATGGAAGGCTGAGTCAACCTTGAGCCGGTCAGGATCGAACTCCTGGCAGGGGGCAGAGTTATACTGCAATACTGCATTCTAACCACTGTGCCACCAGGGCTGCGTGGTCTGGATGTTTATGAAATGGTCCTCTGCTCACCTTGGTAGTGAAGGTCCCTGCCTTGGCATAGTGATTCATCATCTGGTCCTTGCGCATGTAGCGACAATCAATCACATCTCGCCGATTGGTCCAGATGAAGTAGGGGATCTGGTTACGAACCAACCTTGACTGCCAATAAAAAGGTGCAAAAAAAGAGCAAGGTATAAAGGCAAAGAACAGAAGTGTAATAATAAGAAACCCTGTCAAAATAATTTAAAAATCAGTAGGGAATAGTAAAGGGTTCAATGGCAAATAATTGTAAGAATTCACAATAAATGAATGTCAAGTAGAGACAGAAGCTGGATTTGTAAACATACATAGATGGATAAAGACCCAGCAACTCAATTCCTACAGCATACTAAGTTTGAATTCCAATCTGAGTTAGATTTTTGTGGCTTAGCACAAGGGTCCACGGCCTGTTTGGAACTGGGCCGCACAAGCAGTGGATAAAGACATGTGCGCGTGCAGCTCTGTTTGCACAAGTGGCAGGTCTCGCACTTGTGTGCGCCTGCAATTCACAGAACCATTCCCTCTCTCTGGCGGCTGGTCTGCCAAGCTGGAAAGGTTGGGAACCACTGGCTTAGTGTGTTTTGGGAACCTAGTTGGTTGGATTGGCTTATTGTTGTTGTTAGTTGCGAAGTCGTGTCCAACCCATCACGACCCCATGGACAACGTTCCTCCAGGCCTTCCTGTCCTCTACCACCTTCTGGAGTCCATTTAAGCTCACGCCTCCTGCTTCAGGGACTCCATCCAGCCACCTCATTCTCTGTCGTCCCCTTCTTCTGTTGCCCTCAATCTTTCCCAGCATTAGGCTCTTCTCCAGTGAGTCCTTCCTTCTCATTAGGTGGCCAAAGTACTTGAGTTTCAACTTCAGGATCTGGCCTTCTAAAGAGCAGTCGGGGTTGATCTCTTCTAGGACTGACCGGTTTGATCGCCTTGCAGTCCAAGGGACTCGCAGGAGTTTATTATATTCTGTAAATCTAGAATTAACCCATTTAATATAATAACCAAATTAACCAAATGAAGAATGGGTTGCATGAATGCGATCAAAGGATGTTGTGACTTGGATTGAGAGAGTCCTATTGGATTATAATACCATTGGGGTCTGTATGCTCTCTAAAGCAACTTACCTCTCAAGGCTTCTGTGTAAAATAAATTTGATGGGAAAAGGAGAACCAAGTAGGCTGCCCCTGTTTTATGGGGAGGAAAATGGAACAAATGCATAGTAATAAAATGAAGTGTTTAAAGGGCAGATCTCTCTGGTACCCCAAACTAACCATGAGGTTATAGATACCATCTGTATCATCCTGCTCATCTTCCTCTTCCTCATCTGTAGTATGAAAAAAAGTGAATAAAGAATTAGAAAAGAAAGAGCTGTGGTGCAATGGACATATAGGTAGTCCTCGACTTACCACCATTCATTTAGTGACTGTTCAAAGTTACACCAGCACTTAAAGAGTGACTTATGACTTATGGCTGGAGGGGAGGGGAGAGGGGAATGGGGCCGCATTAATGGTGAGCTGACGCGCACGCAGCTCCATTCACGCAAGAGAGAAAAGAAGCCTTTGGGGCGCAGTTAATAATAATAATAATAAAGTTGGAAGGGACCTTGGAGGTCATCAAGTCCAACCCCCTGCTCAGGCAGGTAACCCTATACCATTTTGGACAAATGGCTGTCCAGTCTCTTCTTAAAAACTTCCAGTGTTGGAGCATTCACCGCTTCTGGAGGCAGGTTGTTCCACTGGTTAATTGTTCTAACTATCAGGAAGTTTCTCCTTAGTTCTAGGTTGCTTCTCTCCTTGATTAGTTTCCATCCATTGCTTCTTGTCCTGCCTTCAGGTGCTTTGGAAAATAGCTTGACTCCCTCTTCTTTGTGGCAGCCCCTCACACTGGAACACTCCTATCACATCACCCCTACTCCTTCTTTTCTCTAGCGTAGACATACCCAATTCCTGCAACCCTTCTTCATATGCTTTTGTCTCCAGGCCCCTAATCATTTCTATTGCTCTTTTCTGCACTCTTTCCAGAGTTTCAACATCTTTTTTACAATATGGTGACCAAAACTGGATGCAGCATTTTAAGTGTGGTCTTACTATGCCTTTATAAAGCGGTACTAATATGTTATGTGATCTTGATTCTATCCCTCTGTTAATGCAACCTAGGATTGCATCGGCTTTTTTGACTGCTGTCATGCACTGCTGTCACACATATTCAAGTGCTTGCCCACTAAGACTCCAAGATCCCTCTCACAGTTACTGCTACTGAGTCAAGTCTCACCTCATCTGTACCTGTACATTTGGTTTTTCTTGCTTAAGTGTAAAACCTTACTTTTCTCTCATTGAATTTCCTTTTGTTAGACCAGTGGTTCTCAACCTGTGGGTCGGGACCCCATTTGGGGTCGATCGACCATTTCATGGGGGTCGCCAAGCAAGGCTGTCCGCCATTTTTTTTGTCCGCCATTTTTTTTGTCCGCCATTTTTTTCCCCTTTTCCGGCGGGTGCCTTACCTCCCTTGGGCTGGGCCAGCTGGTGGTCGGCCTGCTCTGTCTCTGCCGCTTGCCAGCTATGCCTCGGCCGGCGCAGGGGGCGGAACCACGCATGTACGGCACTCCTGGGCAGGGAAAGTCCTCGACTTATGACCGGTTGGGTAGTCCTCGACTTACAACCGGTTTAGTCCTCGACTTACGGCTGGTTTAGTCCTCGACTTACGACCGGTTGGGGTCGCGGCATTAAAAAGGTTGAGAACCACTGTGTTAGACAGAGCCCATGTTCAATTGTATCGAGATCTGTCTGGATTTTGATCCCATCTTCTGGGATGTTAGTTATTCCTGTCAATGGAGGATAATCTCACTCCCTCTCCCTGTCTTCTATTATTTGGGGAATATGCTTCCAGAATAATACAGAAAGGGTTACCTACAACAGCAATGGTATTGCCAAGAGGTGCTGTTGACCTGGTTGGCAATTTTGGCGTTATCCAAAGCTCCCCTGGAAGAATATCAGTTATGAATGGTATCTTCCCTTCTATCAAAAAAGCAGTAGTACATGGAAGTCTGCAGAAAGAATAAGCTTAAACAATGGTTAAAACAAAAGAAAAAGAAAAGAAACCGGGGGTGGGGGGAGATGGAGGCTTACCATAGTCAGTTACATCACTGTCATCGCCATCATCATCAGCTTCGCCATCAGGGAAACGTCCCCGCTTAGTAACAACTTTAGGCATCTTTGGGAACTTCCTCTCCACCCAACCTCTGACAAGAAGTTGTCTTCGGATGACGGGGTACGGACCATGGACCATAAAGATCTTCCTTTGCTGTGAGTTGGCAGGAGAATTAGAGGATTAGCTACTTTGCACTGCAGGAGGAGGACCAACTGGATCTTAGTGGCAATGTTCCAAAACAAAGGAAAGGTTTCAAGGGCAGAATACTGTAACAGAGTTGGATGGGACCTTGGAGGTCTTCTAGTCCAACCACCTGCTCAAGCAGCAAATCCTACACCAGAGGTCCCCAACCCCTGGGCTGTGGCCCACTATTAGGCCATGGTCTATTCTCAACTGGGCTACGCGAGCGGTGGGCTGGCAAGCATGCGCATGCGTGCACAGCTTGACTTGCACAAGTGGCAGTCCAGCGCATGGGCACACATGGGCACAGTTCAACTTGCGCAAGTTGAGTTGTGCACACATGCGCGGGCCCGCCAGTTTGCCGGTTATGCAAGTTGAGCTGCACGCAGGCATATGTGCGTGCTGCCCCACCGCTCACATGGCCCGGTTTCCCTTCCCTCCCTCGGGCTGCCAAGCCATAAAGGTTGGGGACCACTGCCCTATACCATTTCAGGCAAATGGCTGTCCAATCTCTTCTTAAAAACCTCCAGTGTGGGAGTACCCACAACTTCTGGAGTGGAAGTCATTCCACAGATTAATTAGTTCCAGGTTGTTTCTCTCCTTGATTAGTTTCCATCCATTGTTTCCTGTCTTGCCTTCAGGTGCTTTGGAAAATAGGTTGACCCTTTCTTCTTTGTGGCAGCCCCTGAGATATTGGAAAACTACTATCATGTCACCCCTGGTTCTTCTCTTCATTAAACTAGACCAGGGGTAGGCAACCTCGACTCTTTTATGACTCATGGACTTCAACTCCCAGAATGCCTGAGCCAGCATAGCTGACTCAGGCATTCTGGGAGTTGAAGTCCATGAGTCATAAAAGAGCCGAAGTTGCCTACCCCTGAACTAGACATACCCAATTCCTGCAACCGTTCTTCATATATTTTAGCCTCCGGTCCTCTAATCATCTTTATTGCTCTTCTCTGCACTCTGAGGCTGATATGGGGAAGCTGATATAGGGAGGAAAATTCAGTCAATATCATTACCTTGATGGCTCTCTCCACATATTGTCTGGCATGCTTGAGGCGATCTGGATTGAAAGAAAAGGTGACATTGATGCTGCGTTGTGTGCGCCCATCTATCAGTGAGGCTGTATATCCTAGGAAGGGGAGGGGGAAAAAAACAAAATTTCCTTTCCTAGCTTCACAATTCTCAAACCTATTTCATGCCACGTGACTAATATCAGTTTGACACTTGAGCTGCTGACTGTTAATGCCGTATATAGCTCCATGTGGTCCCACACATTGTTCATCACTTATACGCTATAAAACCACAGGAGCAGTCATCTGGAATTTGGGGTGATATCAGTATACTGCTAACATCCAATAAAGGAATTTACCGACCAATTAAGGAAGCAATTGGAACCCTGTGAATATTGCCCACGAGTTGGATAATGAGATGGATCAAAACAAGGATAAAGTAATGTAAGAGCATTTCAGTTTCACAGGACACTCCGTTACAAATCTTAAATTAGCCATTTTGGGAAAAAAGAAACTTTACTAGTATAATTAAACAAGAGGTTGCTCAATTCATATATGTCAAAACTCTCAGCTTATCTCAGAAGGGTGTCAACAAACATAACGGGACTTTACCACATTACAATTGTTAATTGATAATGTTCAGGTAGAAGAGCAACTAAGATGATCAAAGGCCTGGAGACTAAAACATACGAAGAACGGCTACGGGACTTGGGTTTGGCTAGTCTGAAGAAAAGAAGAAATAGGGGAGACATGATAGCAGTGTTCCAGTATCTGAGGGGCTGCCACAAGGCAGAGGGGGGCCAGGTTGCTCACCAAAGCACCAGAGGGAAGGACGAGAAACAATGGTTGGAAACTGATCAAACAGAGAAGCAACCTGGAATTAAGGAGAAATTTCCTGATAGTGAGGACAATCAACCAGTGGAACAGCGTGCCCTCAGAAATCGTGGGCGCTCCATCACTGGAGATTTTTAAGAGGAAACTAGACACTCACCTGTCTGAGATGGTATACGTTCTCCTGCTTAAGCAGGGGGCTGGACTAGAAGACCTCCAAGGTCCCTTCCAGCTCTGTTCTGTTCTGTTCTGTTCTGTTCTGTTCTGTTCTGTTCTGTTCTGTTCTGTTCTATTCTATTCTATTCTATTCTATTGTCAGGCCTGTCCCAGCTTGGGTGTTTAGGAAAGAAAAACACTTGACTCAATTTGTAGAGAAAAGATATACTTTCACTAAAACCAAGTGGTTACAGCATACGCAAAGCCACATCTGAATATTCCTGCTTAAATTCAGTGCTTTTCCCTTCTCCCAAGTCCTTTCCCCTTGGTCATTTGCTCAGTGTCAAATAGTATTAAAATTAGGAGTTTGGGTAACAGTTCTAAAGTTTGGCGCCTCTTTGGTGGGTGTTTGCATTCCGTTCTCACGCTTGTGTCCTTGGATCTCTTAATGCTTGTGTCTGATTTGCACCTCTGGTTCCTGTCATCCCTCTCTCTGTGTTCCCCTCTCTTCCTTTCCCCCTTCCCTTCTTTTATGGCAGGATGCCATCAATGCAAAGGGAAGCTGGACCGTTGTGATGGTAGATCTGGTAACAATAGTAATTGGGATCGTGACCTCCATCATTAAATGGAGCTTGTTTGTAAAGCTGTTCCAGTTGTGATTGTTAAGCAAATCCTGTGTGCTTGTTAGACATGATGTCATGTGATTGCCATGGGTGACCTCCCTGCTTGTTGGAACCCAGCGGGAAAGGTCACCCATGGTGACCATGTGATTGTGGGACACTGTGACCATTATAATTGTGAACCGGTTGCCAAACACCTGAATTACAATTGTAAAGTTACCTTACTCAGTGCTGTTGTAACTTTCAATGATTGTTAACCAAGGACTACTTGTATTGTAATGTGTCTCATATGTAATCTATATCTGCCTAATCAGCTTGCTTTCTCTCTACCTCACCCTGATTTAAATTCTGCATCAGTTTAGCCCATTCTATACATTGGATGAAACCAACTACAGCTCACATAGTTTTATGCTTTTTAACAAAGTCTAAAACAGGGGTCCTCAAACCTGGCCACTTTAAGACTTGTGGACTTCAACTCCCAGAATTCTTAAAGTGGCCAGGTTTGAGGACCCCTGGGACTCTAAAAAGAAGCTACCAAACCTCAGCTGATTATATATTTACCCCCAAAATCAAAAGCAACCTGCCTTTGGCAAACATCTGCTGTGAAAAACAGGCGGAAGGCCATCTGATAGAGAAATACAATGTAGAGTTAAATGAGTCATGGATTTAATTCTGCAGCAGAATTCTCCTGACGATCTTAAATGGAATGTGGTGGCTGACGTAGAATGAAGAATGGCCTAAAACTAAGGTGACCAACTTTTTTACAATGAGAAGGAGGACACAAATAAATTGAAGAAAAAAAAGTGAGTCTAATGCGTGCGTGTGTGCCGTGTCATGTTTCGGTAAGAAGTAAACAAAGCCACTTGCATACGGCGCACTCTTGCGCGCGGCGCACTCTCTCAAAACAATTCTCCTGTGCGGAGCGCATGCGTCTCATAATCGTGTCTCGCCGCACTGTACCGAGCCTTGACGAATCGTCATGTCAAATACAAATACATCACATCACACGGAACGGATCGGCTCGGGATCGATCGAATACGGAGATTTACAGATTAGTCTTCAAATATCAAAAAGGAGGACATGTAGGAGGACATCTTTCAAGAGAGGACAGAACTTACAAAAGGAGTAAGTTGGATGGTTAAGGAGGATGGTTGGTCACCTTACTAAAACCTTAAAGCTTTTCCTAAGGGCATCAAACTGCTAGCATCTTTGGCCTTTTCCTAACACAGCATTATTGTTGAATGGAGCATCAAACTTGCAGTTTGCATTGCTCGCACTAAATAGGATCTGGCAGGATCCTGGCCACTTACCTTCTGGCTTGTATCTGCTAGTATGTGATGCAGTTGGTGGCTGGTTCATATGTTCGACACTGCAGGCCACGTCTCCATCCGGCTTTAATCTACTAACTGAACTCATTTAGATAAAGATTTTTTTTTTAAGATAAATGTTCATATGAAACTACACATACAAAAAAAGAAGGGCCTTGAGCACTTCTGCCTTCTCTTGTAATTTAAAAAAAAAAAACCTGAACCGAAATATTGATACTGATGGATCACCCATTAAGAAGCAATACACCCCCATCCTAGGAAAGAATAAAAATTTAAAAGAATGCAACTGTGCAAAGTGTCAATTAGAGATGAAGGAATTGTAACAACAGGTACTCGGAAATAGATAGGAAGTTACAAGATTTGGCAACAAGAAAGCAAGCAGCAGAAACCCAAATAGGGGACACACAGGACATGTAAAGCTTAAGCAAGCTATAACTCTATAGGGGCAAAATGACCCGTAAACTCAGGCAAGGTGCAAATAGACAAATGGACACATAGACTAAAAGCAAGGTAGACCTCCAAAAAAGGTAATAGCTTTGTGAAATGTTACTTCCCTATTTCTGGAAATCAATTGTATAAAAGATCGGGCTATGCTGTTGTTCAGAGTCTCTGCTCCCACCTTGGACTGGGACCCATTTGCTAAAGCGCGTCAATAAAAGTTTTGCAAAAGTCCATCTCTCGTGTCTGGCTCTGATTGGCTTCTGTGTCAGGCTGAACTAATTTTTGGACAACAATATCCCAAAGAATCTTTGTTACTGTTGTGAAACGAACAAGGCCTGGTTTTTAAGATTTTTTTAAAAAATTAAAAAAAATCTCCCAAAGGAGTTCACCCCATCATGATGGTATCCCATGTATTTTTTAAATAGTATTTGATTTCAGGGATTTGGGGGTTTATTGTTTGCTTTTTTTTGCTGTATTCAGAGTCACATTGTTTGAAGGCCATAATCACATTTTTTTTTCCTTATTGGTTCATGGAATTTGAGCCCAAACAATTCTTGTTGTTGTGGAGGGGGGAAAAATGAAAGGATTTCCTCAAGTAGGTTGCTTCAAGCTCCTTGAGGGAAAGTAAGATAAAAATCTAGCAAACATATATATAAATATAAATCTATAAATCTTCATTTAATTTGGAGGAGTGTTCCCTTACCTCCCCTTCTAAATCTTTTTCTCCTTTCTGTGTCATTATCTCCTTCTCCTTTACACTTCAGGCCTGCCTGCAAGAAACCAAATTTATGTCATAATTTTTTTAATCAGTGTTCTCTGGATAGTGGAAAACTATTTAAAACATTTTTAAAAAGTCTAAAAACCTGTTTTTTTTTAAAAAAAAAACACACCCTAAAATATATAGAACATTGAACTCAGTCAAATATAATTAATAGCACAGAAAAGATATAAAATAAAATTCACTAATCCAGTGTAGAATGGACAATTAAGATAAAAAAAAATAAAAGATAAAGGATTCCTTGCAAATTTTACTCCACTAGTTCTTGCTGATTATAGATTATGTATCACCTCCATTTCAAGGCCTTTCAGCCAGCGCTGTCCAAATATATTTCTATGGTCATGTCGCCAGCATTACATCTAGGCCAGGGCTTTTCAACCTTTTCACCCATTTTACCACTTTTAGGATATGGCAACATCCGAGTACCACCAGTCGCCTAGCAAGGTGTCAAAAACTTGATGACCAAAAAAAAAAGAAAAAGAAAAAAATGATAAAGTAGAGGTAGTCCTCGACTTACAACAGTTCGCTTAGTGACTGTTCGAAGTTACAATGGCACTGAAAAAAGTGCCCCCCAAGCCACAGCCGAGCAAGACACCTGCCTGCCCACCTGGCGGCCCTCTTCCTCCTGTCCGAGGTTTCCATTGTTGTGAGCATTTCTGTTGAGGATTGGTAGCGGGGGTGGGGTGGGGGGTGTTTTGTTTTTATTCCCCCCCCCGTCTGCTGGGTGGTTGCAGCAGGTTTTGGTCACTTCACATGACCCTGGGACACTGTGACCGTCATAAATATGAATCAGTTGCCAAGCATCTGAATGTAAATCACAAGACCCTGGAGATGCTGCAACGTTCCAGCTGATCAGTGCTTCTTCTGGGCTCAGCAGAAGTGCCAGGATCAGCGCTGAGCTCCAGCTGGAGCCTGGCGCTGATCCTGGCACTTCCACTGAGCCCTGACAACCCCAAAGAAGCGCTGATCCTGGTGCTTCCGCTGAGCCCTGACAGCCCTGCAGCTCCAGCCATCTCTCGCTCAGGCTTGTGCGGTGCTGCCACCGGTTCAGCTCATTCCCTTCCCCCGCTACCACTTTTCTAGGATGGTTGCGTACCACCTGCCAGGTGCCAATGTACAACAGGTGGTACCCATACCACTGGTTGAAAAGCCATGATCTAGAATACTGTTACCTTTCCACTGAAGTGAAACTTCTATCCCTCAGTTAATGCAGCCACTGTGTTGGCTTTTTTGGCAGCTGCAGCACACGGCTGGCTCATATTTAAGTGATTGTCCACTAGGATTCCGAGATCCCTCTCACAGTTGCTACTATTGAACAAGGTACCACCTCTACTGTACCTGTGCATTTGATTTTTCTTGCCTAAATGTAGAACCTTACTTTTTTCACCATTGAATTTCATTTTGTTAGATAGTGCCCAGTGTTCAAGTCTGTCAAGATCCTTCTGTATCCTAAGCCTGTCTTCTGGAGTGTTGGCTATTCCTGCCAGTTTGGTGTCGTCTGCAAATTTGATGAGTTCCCCATCTATCCCCTCGTCCAAATCATTGATTAAGATGTTGAAGAGCACTGGGCCCAGAACAGAGCCCTGGGGCTCCCCACTACACACTTCCCTCCATGTAGATGCAGTTCCATTGAGGACCACACGCTGAGTATGGCCAGTCAGCCAGCTACGAATCCATCTGGTGATGCTGTCTAACCCACATTTTTCTATCTTATCAAGTAGTAAGTTGTGGTCTACTTTATCAAATGCCTTACTGAAGTCCAAATAAATTATATCCACAGGATTCCTCTGGTCCACTAATTTTGTCACCTGGTCAAAGAATACAATATGTTTTGTCTGGCATGATCTGTTTTTAACAAACCCATATTGGCTTTTGGTAATGACTTTGTTTGCCTCTAGGTATTCACTGATTCGTTGCTTGATTATCTTTTCCAGAATCTTCCCAGGTATTGAGGTCAAGCTGATAGGTCTGTAGTTTCATGAATCCATTTTTTTCCCTTTTTGAAGATGGGAACTACATCAGCTCTTTTCCAGTCCTCTGGTAGTTCCCCAGTGCTCCAGGATCTTTGAAAGATATAGTTCAGTGGTTCTGAGATCACATCTGCCATTTCCTTCAGAACCTTGGGGTGTAGTCCATCTGGTCCTGATGATTTGAACTCATCTAGGGTGGACAGGTGCTCACTTATCATTTTCTTGCCTATCTTAACTTGTGTTTCTAATCTGTTTTCTGCGGTACTGTTTTTGATAGGTTGGACTGTTTTTTCCCTTTGTGTAAAGACGGATGCAAATACTGATGTATATAGGACAACCAACTTCCAGGCTCCACTAACGTTTGTTTCACATTGCCATATAAAGTACAATTCCCATTGTCTGGGCACAGAAAAGTACTCTGAAGGACAATGCCCTTATTAACCCTTTATCCCATTGGCATATTTTTTTTTCTTCCAACCTGTTAACACTGGGAGGGAAGCAGCCTTCAGTTAGTGAGAATACAGAGAAAGGGTTTGGAAATTGAATCTGGTGGGCAAATTTAAAATGGAGTCTTTAACCATTTTCTCTTTGTGGGATACCTAATCTACCAATTTAGAAGGCAAATAAGTAAAATTAAAAGGGCTTTCTGCTGGTGATAACTGAAGAAACAAAAGTTAAGGCAGGCATGTCAAACCCGCGACGTCATGTGAAGTCGCACGACGTATCACACCTTTTTCCCCATTGCCGGCAATGGGGTGGGTGCAGTTTTGGCGTGATGCATCCGGCCCATGGGCCGGCAGTTTGACATGCCTGAGTTAAGGTAAGAGATGAGACTACAATTGTGACGTGTTTGTGTTCCTGGCTGACTGGAAACCTGGCAGCAACAGCAAACTTGTAATGGTGTTTGAATAAAAATAAGGATTGAAGCAATGAAAAGCAACATCCGGTCATAAGAGGGGATGAAAATGTATTAGACTGCAGGAGGCACTATAATATGAATTGTCGGAGGAAACAGACTTTAGGAGGAAGAAATCTAGCAAAAGAAAAAAGATGGGATAATAATGCCACTCACAACAAGATACAGAAGATCTGCCCTTCTGAAATTAGAACATTTTATGCCTTTACAGAAGGAACAGGTTTCAAGCATTTAAATGGAAAAGAAAAAGAAAGAAAAGAAATTGCTGAACAAGAAAAAAATGAGTAGTCCTTGAAGATTAGAGGGGAGGCAGTTGTGTCAGATAAATAGAAGTGTCACCGTACCTATTAAATCAGTATTATGAAACACAAATATGTGCTGACTGAACACATCAATTCATGATATTTGCTGTCTCTTAGAAGCATGATTCTAATGTTGTCGGAAGTAACCCAAAAGCCAGCTGTTCTCACTCAGCTTGAGGGGTTCAAAGCATTACACAAAGAGTCATCCTCTTTGTGTAATGAAGAACAACTTTGTATGAAAACTCATGTGATCATAGGCAAACAGCATGATTATCAGGCTAGTGACGATTACGAAAACAAGGGACAGAGGGAAATCATTTCTTCCACCCTAAAAAGAGTGGCTTTTCTCCCATTAACCATGCAGGCAGGAAAAAAGAAGTTAAAAAAAAAACACAGCCCTACACATTGATTTCATTATCTATCGGTCTTGTGTTTAATACACAGCGGTTGCTATCACAAGGGCTTCATTTGGTTTTCTACAATAAATTTACTTATCAGACTTTTTGTATCCTTCGATGTTTGTTCTTGCAGTTCCTTGTCTAGCCAGACAAATGTAGTTGGGCACAATGAACAATTGAACTACTATGGGTGTATACAAACTATTTGCACCTTTATTCTACAAATAGGCAATCAATTGTTTTTCTTGGCTTCATTCGTGTTTGCTTTAGATGCT